ATATGCGTCCCTGTCAGACCTTACATGAGGCAAGCAATAAAAAAAATAATCGTGATAAAAAGCGGATATAAAGATTGTTGAATAAAAAATGCGCGTGTAGAAGTATGGAGCAAAGAGCAGCTTTAGGAAAAAATATACGAGGCAAATAGATAAATATAAATATAAATACATATATATATATAAATATATTAATATACAATTACATTTTAAGACGCGTCGCGTACACGTTTGAGTAGTTGATAATGATTGTGAAATTTATTGGGGAAAAAAAGCATAGAGTCCATATACCCATACGTGTGACTTTCGCGACGCAGGTGTGCCAGCTAAGCGATTATATTATGCTTATCACTATTATTAAACTCGTTCCTGGTTGATTAATTTATTTTTCCTCATGTACTCTTTAGCATCACACATATCACGACACATGTGGTTCTCTTTTCTAAAAGTCAAAGAGCCATAGTCAATATACACTTATACGTGTACTAGTAATCACTCATTAACCGTACTTTTTTTGCCATATATCATATTTTGTCTACGACTTCGCAATATTGTGGCACTCTTGTTAAGCGATTCGTCAGTTTTGTATCCCCTCGCTCACCCTTCACACACACCTTAACAACCTTTTAAAGTAAAAGTAAAAAAAAAAACAAAAAAAAAAGACAAAAAAATGAAAAAACCCCCCCGAGAGAGAGGTAAATTACGAGGCTTAAAAAGCAGACTGTACTATTGGATATAGATTTTAATATATGTATATATACATACATATATGTGTATGCATACGCAATAATAATGAGTAAAAAAAATTTTTAAATAAATTAAACATAGTTTATTATATATTACATTCTCGCGAGAGAGAGAAGTAAATAAAAATAGAGTAGATGAGTCGCGAGAATATAAAAGCGTAATGAATTAATAAATCGAAAAATATAACAATGAGCGCTCACGCGTTCGCGATTTATGTCACGTACACACGGTGGTAATAGTGCATTATTACATTATATTTCGGTGATTATTTTAAAAATGATTATCTTTATTATTATAATTATTGATTAATATTATTCATTATTATTACTACTATATATTATATTTAAACAAAAATTATATCGAATATATTTTAGTCATAGTTGGTAATTAATACCTATTAACGTCGTTGCAAAAGTTGTGAGAATAAAAGCGATGCGTCAGAAAACGAGAACAATATAAACAAAAATAATAAACAGACAAATTCAATGGAACACGAAATTTTTTAATGACATAAAAACAGAGTATATGAAGACATGTGCGTGTATGAATATATGATGTGGGGTGAGCGCCATTTTTTACGTGATGTGTAAATGCGCGTGAGAGACCGAACAAACGTAAGTGTGTGCAAGAGAGGGTTAAAATATAATTAATAATCAAAAATTATGACGATAACAATGATGAGTTAGGTTGAAATTGTAACCAAGTTAAATTCAAGCGGGACGAGGCGGTGTATCATTGAATGCGATGCGGTAGTTGTGATCCCCGGTTTGGTGCCTTTTTATGCGAAAATAAGAAAAAAAAAAAAAAAAAAAAAAAAAAAAAAAAATCATTTTACAGAAAATAAAAATAAATTAATAATAAGAAACACATGTGAGAATTTTTACAACAACAAAAAAGTAAGAGCGTCATAAGTTTTAAAAGCTTAAAAAATTGTTATTGTGAAAATCGCGATCCTGCGCACGATCGCAATAATCCAGTGCCAAATAAGTGAGACCTTATATCGCGTTATTGAAAAAGTGAATGGTTTGAAAGTTGAAAATAAGACAAAACAGGGAAATTGTGAAGCAACAAAAAATTGTAGGTAAACTCTTTAATGAGGAAGATAGAAAGAATTGCAAGAATGTGTTGGTACTAGAGGGACATTATGTGAGACTTATTAAAAATTCGAGAGAAAAAGAAATGACAAGTCTTTTCTGACGCTGGGTAGAATTTAGTATATTTTATATGCACTGATTGTTTGATTATGACTATCGATAAATAAAAATCAAAAACGAACGGTGTTCATAGATCATAATTTATTGTCAAATTATTTTATTCTCCACATAATATAATTCACACTCTGCTAATTGCATTTTTTTATTTTCTGCTTTTTCATGTGTAACATGATCAGTCTTTTTTTCAGTTATTTGAGTTTAATTTTCTTTGTGAATTTTCGTTTATAAAAGTGTGGGTTTTTTTATTGTTATTATTAACAAACTTTTACATGAAAAGGGTAAACAATATATTATTTTCAAATTTTTTTCATTTGGAGCCAAATATTAGTGCGTTCTTTGTTTTTTTTTTGCGAATGCGAAACAGAAGCTAATTACTGTGTACCTAGTTTTTATGATTTTGATTGTAATATCCCCAAGTCAATTTGTTGAATTTTATTTTGTCATTTATAAAAGGCGTACCTTATATATTATATTTTTTAGTTGTTTCGTTTTTAGTCAAATTTATTTTTATCAATGTAAATTTTTCGAAAGAAAAACAAAACTACCAAGTCAAGATCCAATAAAATTTATTCTAAGTTGTACAGCACTGTGTTTCACCATAATTCCATAATCATGCAGCGGACGAGCCATTTTTTAACAGTGTTAATTTCTATTTAAAAATCATCTGTCATACCGTTTTTTTGTTTCTTATTAAACTTTTGTTTGAACGTTATCTAGCTTTTCTGTTGGTTTTTGTGAATAAAACATAGCGATTATACATGATATTTCTCTAATACATACAATTCTACGTTTGTACCGTTCTAAAAAAAAAAAAATTTTCAAACATGCATAGGAATAAAATCACACAAGCCAGTGAGATTATAAGACTAATGAAGCTTCTTGCAAGGAAGAATTTTACTGATTAATAAGCATTTGAATAAAGCAAAGACAAGGTAATTACGTCAGTACTAACAGATCTAAATGTTTGTTTACATTTTCCTTTTTTTTGTATGTAGAACGAAACTGTAGTATTTGTTATTTTTCATTTTGCAATCAGAAATATTAAGTGCATTACAAGTACAATCATAAAAATGTAAAAAAAATTTCACAATTTCGTTGTATACTTTATTATATGTGTAAAAATGCAGCTTATTTTAATTCTTGCATAGATATTTATATTTATTTTAGCACAAAATTTTTTTATGAAATTTTCACTAATAGATTTTTTTTTAGTTTCATGTTGCACAAAATTTACTTTATTTGTGTTATGATTGATTTAGTGTTTGATGTTTTCATTTCTACATATTAAGACACGTAAAAACTTAATTTTACAAAAATTTTGATTTGTTTTATGTCTAAAATGTTATTATGTATATTTGAGTCAGCAGCAAACTTGAAGAGTTTTCACACTTTGCTTGAGTAAATTGAAAAATTCTCTCGATAGCTATAAGCTGCGCATCGTATAGCTTAAGTAGTTAACTCTTAGCCAAAAATTATGTTTATTTAACTGTCGTTTTTACTTCTTATGTAGTTGTAACATTTGCGTCAGTTTCTAGCCAAGATTTCCGAACCTCTGATTTTGTCGCACTGCTTTGAATGTACATAATATATTATACATGTATTCAGTGTTCAATCATTTTTTATGATATAGGCTTGCCCTCAATGTTTTTTGCCTGATGAAATAAATTTATTGCAAATCACTTGTGCATTTGTAAATAATCATATGTATAGAAGTCAATATTTTTCGACTCAATCAGACATTCGTGACGCTTGGCCGAATCAATTACGTATATTTTTTTATAATTTAAGTTTTGTTTTGCGTTTTGCCATACGCCCATACAAGAGCTATTTTTATTTGTAAAGGATTTAATTAAATGATCGCAATAAAAAATTTACTATTCGTATCCATGCAAGTATATCATTTTTTGTTTTGCATGTTAATTACACGTACTAGTTGTTCTATTTCTTTATGTATAAAAACAAAAGAAATGAAGTCAACAAAGGGAAAGGAAGTATCGTTTGTTGTATTTACGCGTAATATTTAATAAAATATAATAAAGTCTACAAAACTATAAGCAAGGAACAGTTGCAGCATTAAATTTGTTTATGTGCCTTGTTAATGTAGATTGATCACTTAAAAATAAATGAATTGCGGATTACCCGCAAATCAAAAAGTTTGCATCCCCTATTTGATGCGTGTCTGATCGGTTTGTAGTACATTTATGTTAAATATTTTTTTTTGCTTTTTTGTCAACATAGCCTTCCTTTCTCTTTTGTAAATAGGCAACTACAATACTTTGAACTATTCTCTGATATCATAATTATAACTATGATATAACATTCGTATGCGTACATAATACATATTCCTATGTATCTTGTACGTCACATGTTCGCGTATACACAACGATAATTTTTAGGAGTACACGTTGTCGCGCGATTTATTAAAGAATGGTACAATTTTAACTGGTTATTTTTAATTTTCAACCACTACTTTCCTAACCCTAATTCCTAGTCCCATATTTTTAAAAATTTATTTAAGTTGGTCTACGTTACTGTTGTTCATTTTTAGTTCAACAGTTATAAGTATATAAACTGTAGTTGATGAAATATTTTTGCCTTATTTTTTATTGTGGATGAATAGTTCGCATGAGCTATCAGCCATACATTCTACATTACATATAAGTACATGTACATAATTTATTAGTATCATCAGCTTGTCTGTAATACATATATATTTTTTTTTTAAAGCTTACTTCAAATAATAATGCACACTCGTAAGAGAATTTTAGTTGTCGATGTTAGATGTGTGTTTGTTTATATAAATATGATTTATTTATTATTCGTTAGAACGTCACGTCTCTGTATAGAAAATTTGGTTTGCACGATTTAGCTGCTGCCAAATGATTAAAGTTGTTTTTAGTTGATTATTTAGTTGAAAAAAAAAAAAAAAAAAAACGCCACTATGCTTATTTGAGATTATTATAAACGTATATTAGCACTTTTTAAATATCTCCAACGCAATCCACCACTCGAACTAATTGACGTAAAATTTCCACCTTGCAGATTTCACACGATCCTCATCGTGCAGCAGCAACAGCAGCGTCAAGTCTGATGTCTCAGACAAATCGCTTGGTAGCATAACACCGGAAAAGTCGACGACACCCTCGGCCCAGCAGCAGCAGCAGCAGCAGTTGGCCTCAAACGAGTCCTCGCCTCGCGCGACACCAAGCAATAACAACAACAACAACAAGAACAACCCGTCCACCTTACCCACGCCCTCCTCAAACACGAAAAACAACAACAGCAGTAGTACCAACAACAATAGCGTAGCCTCAACGCAGAGCAGCACGAGCACCACCTCGACGGCGACGACGACGAGCACGAGGACAACGACGACAACAACGACTACGCCAACGCCGACGAGGAGCCCATCCCCGCGCTCGAGCTCGCTACCTCGGGGAGTCCCCTCGACGCCCCCGAGCCAGCAACAGACTCAGTCTAGCGGCGCGATGAGCGCCCCGACCGGCCGGCAAGTGCCCAAACGGCGCATGCGCCGCAAGACGTCCTCGCAATCGCAGGACCCAGCCGAGCAGCTGACGGAGATGTCGGTGCGCGGGCTCAACCTCTTCCGCTACGCTTCGATATCCGAGGGTGTCTACCAGTGCACCGAGTGCGCCAAAGTCGACATACAAAAGACCTTTAAGAACAAGTACAGCTTCCAACGACACGCCTTCTTGTACCACGAGGGCCACCAGCGCAAGGTCTTTCCTTGTCCCGTGTGCAGCAAGGAGTTCTCCAGGCCGGACAAGATGAAGAACCACATGAAGACCGTGCATGACTGCTTCATGCCCAAGGACTGCGTTAATCTGCCGTTCGGCTTTTACATGCAGCCTTAACTTTGAGTCATGTCTTCCATTTTTTTTTTCCTTCCATGGTTGACCAGTTGTGAACTGAATCACACCATTGCGGTTCTCGCCGTTCTTTTTCTAGTTAAGTAAATTTTTTTTTTTTTTTTTTCATATATTGTCTTCCGAGTCTCAGTGGATTTTTTCTCTTATTCCTCCACTCGCGCATTTGGCTCTGTAGATGTCGGCGATCTAAGGTAATGGGCTCGCGTGCTGGACTGACTCTGATGACTCGCCTTGGATTATTATTATTATTTTTATTTTTATTATCATCATTATTATTATTACTATTACTACTATTATTAACATTATTATTCTTTTATTTTTTGACGGGATTCGGAAAGGATGCGTTTATGTTAATATACATTGGATTTAATTTATATTAGATGACATATTTTTTAATTAACATTGTTTGCGCACCATTCCTCCCGCGTGTCACGAACTGAAACGTATCGTTTGTATGTTTAAAATTGAAGGTCTTTCAATATTAAAATTTCTTTATCGAACTAATTTTTTGTATTTTTCTCATTGTAGATGTATGATAATAATTATGAGACTCGTTTCCTGTCTTTGTTCGAAATTCATGCAATTTCCTTTATATTAGTTATCTTGTTATAATTTTGCAAAAATATTGCTGCTTAATGTTGAACCAAGTATTTACTAGGTGATAAGAAAGTATTTATTGAGTTTTTGAAAATTATTAAAATTACAATCTATATTAATGTCGGCTGCTGCTCCATTTAATTTATTTAGTTTGATAAGACGTCAAATGTTTATCATTTATAGACATTTTTTTTATGCAAATGAATAATTAATGTATTTCTCTTAGGCATAAAAAAAAATTTTTTTTTCTCGTCAGCCCGACATATAATATGTACAATACGTAGTTAATAATAATTATTGGCGTTCACGCCGTGCCTGATATATTTTGTCTTAAATTCTTCCATTTAATTCTTCCATATATTTTCTGATCGATCGAAATTAACAAGCATAACGAGACAAATCGTAAAACTGACAGCGATACTGTGATCAGATGTAAGGGACTCGACAGTATTTTTTTGTTTCGTATGATTACTTTTTTCTTTTTTATTTAATGTAGTGTGACGCTGGAACCAGCTTTTGTACTATCGAGACAAATCTCGAATACTCTCTAATATTTTGTGTAACATATTTATATTTATATAAATCCAGAAATATTGTATAAGGAAATAAAAAAAAAATTTAAACACTAAGTGACTAAGCTGTACACTATGTAATTATTGTTGTTACGAATACATTGTAACTTTGTTCAATTCCGTCTCTTTCCATTTTTTGCTCGCTTGGGATGGATAGTACAAAAATTAGCACCAGCGCACGATCTAATATTCTATTTCTTGATCCAGTGACAATAGTTGCAAGGATATTATAACCACCGAAATTTGGAGTCTAAAAGTTTCGTTGTTTTTCATTATATATTTTTATTCACAGAAAATTTATGATGCTGTGAGACAATAAAATTAATATATTATAAAATGCTATGAATCAGTTTCCAATATGTTTTATATTTTATAATATCATTAATTTTTTTTAATTTTAGTTGTATATGTATATAATAACCTTTAACGCTAAAGCGTTGACACGATTAATATTGAAAATTTTGTGACTATGGCGTTATTGATAAATAAATATAGTTATACGAGAAATGAGAAAGTAAAAGAGAATAATAATTAATAATATTTTATTAGCATGAAGAAAACTCACTAATGTCAGGAGCACAATATAGTATAGAGATGCTACACCAGCTTCTATGGTCATTACAATGTGTGTAAAGCGTTATTACACGCGTTATTGTGTGTACCCATAACATAAAAATGAAGTAAAATAAAGGTGCCTGGTGGCGATGCTGAGAACAATCATATTAAGATAATAAAAATATGCACTATTGTAACAATAATTAATATTATATATTTATATGATGTTTTTATCGAATCGTAGTTTCTTTGTAACTCTTTGTGATACACTGCAAAATAGTCTATCTTGCGCATGTAACAACCACATCCCTATTATAATTTGAAAAAGAAATATATATATGTATATGTACAGAGAATCTTAAATTTTCGAGTTTTTTTTTTCAATTTAACCAATCCTTTAAAAAAAGATCCTCAATATATCCAGCTAAAACAAAAATCCAATTAAAAAAAAATCCTAGTAACAACATTAACCCTTAAAAAACCACTCACCATCGGCACGACCAAATTTTTTTTGTTTTGCAGGTCACCACCTGCCGAGCCTACCCAGTGATACCACGTTTGAGATCTGCGGCTCGACGTCCCCCGAGACGAAAAATCCCTCCTGCCACAACCAGCATCAGACAAGCAACGAGTACACCTGCGAGGAAGAGCCTGACTCCGACTCGAGCACCACTTCGGCCTTAATGATCTGCGAGACGAGTAACGTCTGCAATGCCGGCCGGCGTAACTCGAACGACTCCAGCGTTGCGCTGAAAAACTCACCGTCCTCGCCCCCCGCCTCAATAATAAATGAGATTGCCCACTTCCCCAAGACAGTCGAACTGCAACAGCTGAGGCCGAGTATCGCCAAAACTCCCGAAGCTACGACTATCACAGCGATGCCGGCCGGCGTACCGACCGAGCCGGCCGGCAACGAACCAGAATTTCGGAAGCAGGTTGGTTGGAACCCAGCGGCGCTTAGGCCGCTTGCCACTACGGCTATAGGTCGTCGGCGTAACAGGCGCGCTGGGGGAGTTAGGAAACGCACGTTCCTCGATTGTGCTCGCACAGCCGGCTGCTGGGGCTCCACTGGGGGCCTCATTGAAAAATATTACACGCCCAACATCAGACCAAGGATCTGAGGGAGTTTCTATCCGGGGGGCGGTATTTGCTGAATTGTATCATCTGTCGAGTAGTCGTGTGTGTGTGTGTGTTTTTCTAATAATTTAGTTGAACGAATAAGGTATTATGCCGAGACATAGTACGGCTTGGAGGAATTTTTGACGTTTGAGTAGATTTTTTTTATCATTGAGCTGTGATCGATATCGATAAGCTTCGTGGTGAGGAATTTCATTCGAAAGGATGATAAATTTGAGGGGGGACTTTGAGAAGTCACACTGACAGTATTGATGTTTTATTACGTAATTAAAATAAATTAATCAAACAGTTTGTATGTAACGTACATATGATTAATTTAAAAGTGCACCGAATTCAGAGTCTTTGTACTTTTCGGACGATTATATTACGTATAGTATTTGTTTAGGTGTTTGTTCGATAGTTATGTTTCGAGTATAAGGAAGGGAGACTCAATTCTAGTCGATATGGTTTGTCTAGTCAATTTGTTGGTGAATCAGTTATAATAATTTATTTGTTAGATTAAATTGTTGGATTGCCTATCATTGGAATTTGATTATAGTTAATGGTCCAATTGGTTTGTAATGTTAAAAATTAGTATTAATGTCTCATTTTAAATGCAAACAGAGATTTTTGCAAGTTTAATACGAGAACCAATAGATGATATAAAATCATGTTTTCTTTACATTAAAAAAAAAATTCCTTTAATAACGTTCAAAATTAATTGTGCCATGAAAAAATTATTAATATTTTTAAGTATCCACGCAATATAATGGATTGTAGGTTGATTCAGTTTCGATGATATTGAATATCACGTTTTTTAATATCGAAATGAAACAAGACTTAAAATAAGACTGATATTTCAAAACATAGAACTACCCTTACACGATTGTTCGATATAAAAATTAAAAGAAACTAATGATAAATGAAATGTCCTTCGTCATCATGAGTTTTGCATGTATTCACCATAATTGTTACCTGTCACAAATTATTCTTATCTCAAAAAGGATAAAACGATCATAATAAATGATACGCATACATACAATATGAATCACGCACAAAAGACTTGAATTCGTGCAAGAGGTCCAAACGCAATCAGCACAAATCGAATGCAAGCATCATCACGAGTAAGCCGCAACATTGATTTCTGTCGCAATTAGCTGGCGGATTACCAAATCCAAAAGAACGGCTCGGTGGTGTGCAAGCGGTGTGGCGAGGTCCTTCCGTCCCGTAGACACTGGTACCGTCACAAGTACCGTTTCCACCTAGCAGTGACGTCGGCCCCAGCCACGACAGCAACGGCAGCTCCACCGGCGCCTCTGTTCACCTGCCACAGCTGCAACACCTACTTTAAATCGCGGAAGGGCTACATTGGTCATTTGAGCTCCCAGCACAGCGCTGACGACGCGGAGAACGACGAAAACCGCGAGGAGCCTCCATCGCTCAATGGCAAAGCCCAGCTGGTGGCCACTCATGCCAAGAAACAAACGACGCGCAAACCTACTGCCGATGTAAGCGTCGATCCCGTCGACGGTGATGATATTACCTAACTCTTTTATACATGCACGATAGGATGATTTTTTTTTTCCTCTCTTTCTTTGACCGCACCTTTTTTCCGTGTCTCGCATCATTGTCTGGGATTGATTGTCCGTATCGCTGCCTAATCGTTCAGCTTCATGGCCATACACAATGATAGATTTTATCGCCATCACTTTTCATCGTGTATAATTTAATCATATTATTATTATTATTATTATCATTATGATTATTACGTGTGTGTAAGAATTGTTATTTTATATAGCTCGCATATAGTATATACAATATTATATCATATTAATCATTTGTTACATAGATACATTATATAGATTATACATGATTACGAATAAATGTGCACCATCCTTTCATTGAATGTCACGCAAGATAGTCAGATCCTAAAATGACTGTGGATTTGTTATATTAATTCATGCATTTGGACAAATTTATGTAAAAAAAAAAAAAAAATTTGTTAAACAAAAAAAAGAGATGAGCTGTTCTGTTGTGTACATGTGTATGTTTGTACTAGAAAAATCAAAAAAATCTCGTGGAGAGGACTTTCGAGTGAAAGAGAAAATAGTTCCTGTATCTATCCATACGTATATACATTAAGACATATAACAAGTATTTTTACGCTGATTTTTCGATGTCACTGTATCAGTAGAATCTGGTTTTTTGAGAACCTGGCTGTTTTACGTAAATGCATTTGTCCGCTCGGCTTATAGATCGCAATTTTGTTAATAAAATAATTTTTATGAAAAAACGAACATAAAATCGCTGTGTTGTTTTGCATCAAAATATCCCATGATTTTTTTTTTCGTTTTTGTTACGATTCCTTACTCTTTTTTATTTGCGCATGACATGAAAATTAATTTCTGGAAGCTTCGCGATTTTCTTATTTGCAGCACGTTTTTTTTTTTTTTCTTTGGATAAACAATTACTTTTGCTTTTTTAAAATTTTACTTATTAGATTTTTTGTGGCTTCTTGAGATGTCTAGAATCGCTTCTGCTGTATACGTTATAACAACATTATATTTTATTAATTACATATGCTTTTAAACGTTTCTTAGTTTTTTTCATACCGTAGAGAAATATTTTTCAAATAATTTATGCCAAGAGCTTTTGGATGTTTCATAGAATACTACTTTTCGAAAAATTAATTCAACCATTGAAAGTCATTTAATCTGTAGTTCCTTACAATTTTTCTTACTATCTTTCTCTCTCTCTCTCTTTCTTACCGCAGTAATTACAAACGCAAGATTACTCATTTGGGTTCAACTTTCCTAAACCGATTTCCCCTTAATACGCCAAAATAACTGAACCCATTAAAAAAAAAAAAAAATTAAAAGAGAAAAAAAAATACGTGGGCTTAGATCGGCAAAGGGCCAGACTGGGAAGAGCAGCGGGAGAAGGAGGAGAAGCTGGTCGCGGATATAATTGACCGAGTGAAACGCGAATGCGAAGCCCAAGGCGAGGCGGTGACGAGGCGCGGTTACTCAAGGCGGTCGACAGTCATGAACAGCTAAGGCCAACTTCGCCAGGACGACTCTGCGAACGACGCGGCCTCAGCCGGGCTCATCACATTCTGCATCAGGCTCGTCTAAGCTGTTGACTTTCATCGTATTGTAACCAATAATTATAATAATAATAACGTCGGGTGTGATTTTATCATTGTGATTATGGAAATTATTGAAAGACTGTGCGTTATATGTATATATATTTCACGTTGATCGTTGATGTCAGTCGAAAGGGAAATATATATACATACATATTTAACTTCTCGGTTCCTTCGATACACCAAACAATAATATCAACAATATATTTTTTTAAATCCTAGATTGACTCGCGCGATGGTTTCGATCGTTATGTGTATATTTTTTTTACAAATAAATAATAATTAAAAGTGACTGGCTTCAAGTATACAATAACGCTGGCTCATTGTGTTTCTGTTGCTCATTTCATTACTGATTATTTCTAAGTACCGAGTACTTACATTGTATTATGAACTTCACGGAAAATACTGACTTCCAAACTTTTGTTACTTGAATCATCAAAAAATAAATAATTTCAATTTAAAATCGATTTAATTCGATAATTTTAATTAATTTTTTTTTTTTTTAGGAAAGATTTGTATGTACGATGATTATTAATTATTTTTATTGAAAAATTGCAAATGACTCTTATATGCAATACATATTGGAAAATCATGAAAATTTTGTGATGAAACTATCATACGTAAAAAAAATATTGTATATAACGTTGAAAACTATGTACTTATACACTTAAGATATTATAAAGAATTGTGCCACTACAATATAATTCACAAATTTCTCTGTATCTTCCAATCTGCAAAAAAATAAGGCGGAATACGTTACAATAATAGTAGAATGTCGTTGGAAGAACTTCAAGAGCGGTTTAAAGTTCCAAATAAAGTACGTTTGCCAATTAATTTTTAGAGAAATATTATTTAGTGATGTGCAACTATTTTTGAAATTAGATAATTATTTCTCATATTGAGTATAATATTGCATGATTTTTATATTCATTAAAAAAATATAAAATAAAATTGTGAAAATAAGTTTTAAAATTAAAATTACAAAGCAATTACGATAAATATTTATATAATAAAATAGTAATAATTAGATATAACAAAATTACAAGTTTAACATTTCTTTCGATGAAAATGTGATTATGTAAATTGAATACTTCGTCAAATCACGATTTATCAAAATATTGATACTTACACACAAGTATAAAATATAAATATTAAATATAGAAAAAAACTTAGAAAACTAAAATAAATTTCCAGACTTTCAATATACTTCTTAAGATTCTGATATATCATCGTTACAATAAACATTTTAAATAATAATCCAGTAATTAAATTACAACTGGAAATTTGAGTGCCAAAATCACATCTTCCCCAACAATTTTGATGTCCATATTGTCTATAATCTACAAGTGTTCCGATATGAGCGCTCAACTTTTTCTCAAAAGTACAAGGATATACATGAATAAAAAGTATATTTAATAATAGATTAATAGATTATATTTAGTTTTCGTAATGTGCCCGATGAATCATTGAACTCATTGAATAAAATTGAAATACGTTCGCGTCAGTTGATTTGGAAAATTTTCAACAATAATGATGGTAAATTATCAAAGTACTTATCATTGTATGCGTATGCTACATTATAAAGGAAGTGAAAGTCGCAAGATTGACATTATCTCAATTGACACATGAATAATAAAAATTTTAAGCCAATACAATTCAACAAAACATAATAATTAAATGATGCACGTGTATACAGAAAATCAGAAATTCGTATCAAGTTATACATGCACATATATTTGTTTCATTCACTCTTCAAAAAAATTTCTTAATTTTTTTAACAATGATGTAAAAGTACATGTACTAAAAAATACACGTTGATGAAGTAGTAATTATTATTAATTTATAAATGCAAATATGAAAAAATTATTGAATGAAGAACACAAATTTAAACCTATTATGCAAAAAATAGTTTACAATAGTAACTTTTACTTTGAAAGATTTTTACAATTAAGTAAATTTCATTTACCCGATAATTTTTTAGATATACGACTGTGGACATGCATATTTTAAAAACATAAATAAATTTTTTCAATGAATGTAATAAGTCAGTTAAGAATTGTTGACATGAATGGTTGTACAAATTTAAATTGTAAAAATTATAAAAAATCTAACTTATCCTAAAATAGAGTTTATGAAAAGTAAATCGTCTTTCTCGTTCATAGCTCTTTGCCAAATCAATGTGATATTACAGTAATACGTGTGTAATTTTTAGAGTATGGAATAATAATATAATATTTTATCTCACGTGGATTACATTTAATTTTAACTTTATTGATTCATTTGGATTATAATTATTATTTTACTGCGTATTCACTTTCAATTGATTTACAACTTTAAAACGAGAAAGCGTTTAATGCATAATTAAAGTATTAAAAAAAACTTATTTACCTCTTTGAATATCTAAGTGTTAATAACAATGTACATATATACATTTTAATAAGTCTGATATGAATTTTCTCGATGACAAATTTCGATACTAAAAAATTTGTATTCGTTCAAATAGATAACTAAGTCTGAAAATAATTTTTTTTGTGGAAAAAAGCCTAAAGAACATTCCAAACTCACAGTAATTTTTCAATAAATAATGGGGCTCGGAATTTTTTTTCTAAATTATTTTTTACGTACCCTGAGAAGTTTGTTGTTTCAAAAAAGTTTCGATGGTAAATGAAATTCAATTTACTGTAATCTCAAACTGTATGTATTGTTGAAAACAAATGAAAAGTAATAAAAAATAATGCGGAACAGTGTGGTGATATAAAATATCAAAGTGTCGATGAATATCAGAGAATTAAAATCATATTAACGTGGGAAAACTACTACCGAGACTTCGACAATTTTTCAGTGAAAATATTCTCATACATATACTTTTGTATACTTCAATGTACTTTTGTTGCCTACGAATTGTTTAATTTCAAATTCACTGATTCTTTTTGTAATTTTAAAATCTCTGGTATTCCATCAAGTAATAAAAGTAATAATCATTACGTGATCTAAAAATAAAAAGGAAAACGAGTGCCGAAATGACAATTTATTATATATATGTTTAAAATTGAAGGTCTTTCACTATTA